AGCAAAAAAGTCCTTTATTTATGCTCTTCGTCCAAAGACAGCTATGAGCAAGGAAACTTGGGAAAAAAAGGAGGAGCTTTTGATGAGCTATGGTTGGTTGGAGGAGCAATTTCAATCTGCATTTGTACTGCAACCAGTTTTCATGCTTACCTCAAAAAAAGAAGATCGAGAAAGTGATGGATTTCCTTTAAAACACTATAGGTTTAAAGTCATAGGATGTAGCAAAGTGATGGATTTTCTTTTAATTGGTGGAGACTTAACGTGACAGGTAAGCAGTTCCGTGACAGAAGGATTGTTTGAGTTTTGGAAAAATAAAGTTTAAGGACGATTTGAGTCCTTTCTGAAGTTAAAGGACGAACTAAGTTCCAAAAAGAAAGTTTAAGGACCAAATTGGGTATTAAACCTTTTTCTTTTTGGCATCGGAGAAAAAAATTACAGACGATAAATTTTGTGAAAAAATCCTTTCCCTGCAATATTTTGAAAACAATTTTTAAAATGAGAAAAAAAATAGTGTTATTATACAGTCACTAAATTGCATAATTTATACCATTATTAAGTAAGAGTTATTTAGTATAATTTTAATTACAAAACATGAAAACTCTTTTTTAAATATTTTAACAATGAAAAGTTAAAATTATTTTTTATTAAAAATAATAATACAATAGGTACAATATTAATATAATTATAAATTTATAATTTTATATAATATATAATATAATATAATATTAAATATATATTATTATAAATATTTCTTAAATAAAAATAATTGTATAATAATATATTATATTATATATTTACAATATCAAATAATATTGTAACTACTCATTTTTCATACTGAAAATATTTTTCAAAATCAAGAAGTCTTTTTTTTTTCCTTTCTAGAAAAAAAGAAGGTTTTTTTTTTTTTGGCAAACTAAACGTATCCAAAGTTGAAAAGTGGGTCATGAATATTGGGCTCAGTACAGGCCCATAAATTTACCAATAATTCAAAAATCTGTGGAATACTTTTGGCCCAACGGACATGAAATGAAAGACTTAGTTATTAGTTAAGGTCACGCCTGGCTTGTAAGCTTCTTGATAATGGTGTGTTTCTTCAGTCCATAGGCTGGGTTCAATCCCACTTACTTCAAAAATTGCCTCGATAAAAAAAAAGAAAAGAGTTATTAGTTAAGGTCCTAATTAGTGCATCTTATTATTTTGATTTTTGGGGGAGGGACTGAGACGGTGAATACAGTACCTAAATTTTTTAACACAATTCAAACTTCAAATTGGAAGATTTATTGGATTGTGAGTAAGGAAAGAATTCAAAGAGCCTACTAAATGATACTCCTAATTTTAGAAATTGTTTGGGATTAATATCAAATACCCTTAAAAACAATTACTGGTAAAATCAAAATCTTACATTGGAAATTAACAATAATTTCAGAAAACGAAATGATGAAATGTAATTCCCGAAGAAGTTCAATGGGCAGAAATTAATATTGTAAAATCATCGAATTGTGAGTAAGGGAAAAAAAAATTTTAAGAACCTACTAAATGATACTCCTAATTTTAGAAATGATTTGGGATATAAATACCTCCAAAAACAATTTTCAAATGCATACTTTGTTCTAATTCTGCAAAGTGGTAAAGTTTTTCTTTTCCTTTTCTTTGATCTTTCTGTTAAACTTAATAGAACCATTTCTCTCTCTCTCTCTCTTTTTTTTTTTTTGTTTTTGTTTTTGTTTGTGTGTATGTTTTTCCAAGGCTTCAAATTTATGGTCTTGAGTTCTCTTGCTTTTCCCGTTCTCTGCTGGTATAAATTAAGGAAACAATACCTCAAAACCCTTTTAATTCTGATTGCTTTTGATCAATATAACTTTTTAAGTATATTGTACATAATCTGTGTATCTATGTCTCACGACTCTCACGTTAATTACGTGTATAAATAGCAATTTCTTTGTCTTTCTCCTCTATGTTTGCTAGTTACTGATCGCCAAGAACATAAAATTCTTTAGGAATCAAGCTGAAAAATATCGAATCAATGGTTGCTGCAAGGTCTATGTGGATGTTTATGATGATGTTACTCTTGTTTGCTGCATGCGTCTTCTCTGCTCAAGCTGCAGGTCGACAGCTTTCAGGTATACGTATCCTTTCACCTATACATACAAAAGATTGTATATTCTTTATGTAAATGGTCTTTTTGATAATTTCATGTGGAATTAATGTTTGTAGACACTAAGAATGGCATTGCTTCGACTGAACCGACAGCTTCTAATGGTTTAGATGGAGGAAACAAGGCGGCAGCTGATGGCAAACAGGTGAAGCCACCGGAGAATATAAAAGAAAAGGGGGTGGAGAAAATGGAAAGTATTAGTAAAGATGATCATTTCTCTAATGGAGCAAATCATCATGAGTCTGGATTGATGGTTTTCAACGTTGATTATAGTGCTCCAAGGCACCACCCCCCTACAAACAACTGAGCGTCACTAGGGTAATTAGATGAATAATAATGTTGATGTTGGAAATCCGGGAATAGTTGTGCTTTTCTAGTCTAATTAT